CTCGGAGTCCTGGCCCCCGCCCCACCACACCCGCCCCGGCTTTTGCTCACGACCACAGGCTCCTAGCGCCAATCGTGGCCCTGCCTCCCAGTCGCTCCCCTGCCTGCGCCAGGCTTCAGTCCGGCGCCCAGCAGGGAATTCAGAAAATACCGGACATTGCACATGTCCCGTATTTTCTGAATTTTTCTACTGGACAGACGCTCGGAGTCCTGGCCCCCGCCCCACCACACCCGCCCCGGCTTTTGCTCACGACCACAGGCTCCTAGCGCCAATCGTGGCCCTGCCTCCCAGTCGCTCCCCTGCCTGCGCCAGGCTTCAGTCCGGCGCCCAGCAGGGAATTCAGAAAATACCGGACATTGCACATGTCCCGTATTTTCTGAATTTTTCTACTGGACAGACGGTGCAAATACCGGACTGTCTGGTAGAAAACCGGACACCTGGCAACCCTAATACACATACGGGCTGCAACATTTTCAAAAAGTTCTCAGTGACTGGAGTGCCTAAGTCCAATTAGCTTTCATTGGATTTTATGCACTTACGTGCTTATGAAAATGTTACTTAGGGCCTAAACTGTTAAAGACTTGTAAAAAATCAAGGCCCTGAGCCTGCAAGTACTCATAAGTATACTCTTATTCATGTGACCGCTCTCAGTGGGACTTCTCAGGTACATAATCTGAGGATCTGCCTCTAATATGGACAACTTAAAATCAATTTGCCTCACTGTTACTAGCCAAAGGAAATAATGCAGTATGAGGGTAATATGAAAAAAATATATAAAAAGTAGAGGAATTCTATACTTTGTCCCATCACCTGTGAACTTCATATAATTGTCACATTATGTTAAAAACAGCAAATAGCTTGTTCTCACTGTGGTTTAATGTCACATGGAGAATTAAAAAGAACTTGATTTAAAAACAAAAAGAAGCAGGTATGGTAACTTGCCCACCTACTCCTATGGCTGGTTCTAGCCAAAGCAGACAAAAATATATGAGTTAAAAATAAAATATTGTTTTTTTAATTTAAATACAGATTTATTGTAAAAAATGCATCTATTTATAATTAAATTTGAAATTGAAAGCACACGTTAAGGCTAGGGATATGAAAGTGTAAACATGTACATGGTTAACTGATAAGCCTGGGTTCATCTGTTAACCTTTACAGTTACACACAGCCCCTGTATGAGAGGCAGCAGTGTGGCGGCAGGCAGGAGCTGGTATACACTTAAAAACTAGCTATGGCTTTAAAGCTGATACTGAGGCAGCGGGGTGGGGGTGGGAAGGGCAGGAGCTCTATGGGAGCCGCTCTCACTCCCATCCGTGTTTAGACTCATAGACTCATAGACTTTAAGGTCAGAAGGGACCATTATGATCATCTAGTCTGACCCCCTGCACAGTGCAGGCCACAGAATCTCACCCACCCCTCCTAGAATAATCCTCTCACCTATATCTCAGAAATTGAAGCCTTCAAATACTTTGAAGACCCCAAGATGCAGAGAATCCTCTAGCTGTGATCTGTACCCCATGCTACAAAGGAAGGCGAAAAACCTCCAGGGCCTCGTGAAAATGGGGTGGGGGGGTGATGCTGATAAAGCTGCCAATTCCCCTACTCTGCGAGCAGATGTAATCACTAGTAGGAACACAACTTTCATGGTGAGACAGTTAGAATCAGACGTGGCCAATGGTTCAAAGGGTAGCAGCATCAGTGTATCTAGAACAATTCAAGGTTCCACAGATCAGGGGGTTGTTTATGCTCCGGAAAGAGGTTGCGTAGACCCTTGAGGAATCTTTTTGTAGTGGGATGCGAGAAAATGGTATAGCCCTCGATCGGCTGTCTAAAGGCTGTGATGGCCGCCAAGTGGACTTTCAGGGACGATAGGGAAAACGCACTGCTCTTGAGGTGTAAAACGTAATCGAGAATGGAATATAGTGGCACGTTATGAGGGTCCATGTTCTTGTGTGCACACCATTGAGTGAACCTTTTCCATTTATACAAGTAGGTGTTCTGGGTAGAAGTTTTCCTGCTGTGCAGGAGCACATGGTCGACAGCTGCCGAGGTCCCTAATCTTTTTTGTTGGCAGGTGTCAGGAACCAAGCAGATAGAGCGAGGTGATCCAGTTGCGGATGAAATAGTTGCCCTCGTTTCTGCATCAGAAGATCGGGCCGACTGGGAAGGCGATACGGTGGATGAGATGACATGTGGAGAAGGTAAGGAAACCACATCTGGTGCGGCCAGAATGGAGCTCCAAGGATTAGAGTTGCTCTGTCTGCTATTGTTTTCTCTAGGACCTTGTGTATTAGGGGAATGGGTGGAAACACATACAGGAGGTGATGGCCCCAGTGGAGGAGGAAGGCATCGCCCTTCGATTCTCAGCCTATGTTGGCTCTGGAGCAGTAATGGTTGCACTTTTGTAGGGGACCACCCGCGTCTGCGTCCCCCCAACCCCCAAGTAACACCCCCTTTTCGCGTATTGGGTGCCTTTTAGTTTATTGAATTATGCGCTTTTACAATTTTCAAGATGCGCCCGGTTGCCCCCCTGCTTGCTGGGGAAGGGGGTCCGGGCCCACCCTCGCTCCGGACTCCGAGAGCGGGGGAGTTTAGGGGTTTTCAACCCCCTCCGCTAGGCAGGAACGCGTGTCCTGACCTTAGGGCCCTGAGTCAGGGTCCGGAGCGAGGGTGGGCCGGACCCTCTTCCCCAGCAAGCAGGGGGCAACCGGGCGCATCGTGAAAATTGTAAAAGCGCATGATTTAATAAACTAGAAGGCACCCAATATGCCAAAAGGGGGAGTTGTTTGGGAGTTGCGGGATGCAGACGCGGGTGGTCCCCTACACTCGGATCATCCTAGTGGCCCTTCTTTGTACCTGTTCCAGTTTGAATTCATCCTTCTTAAACATGGGAGACCAGAACTGCACACAGTATTCCAAATGGGGTCTCACCAATGCCTTGTATAACGGCACTAACACCTCCTTATCCCTACTGGAAATACCTCGCCTAATAAATCCCAAGACCGTATTAGCCTTTTTCACGGCCATGTCACAATGGCGGCTCATAGTCATTCTATAATCAACCAGGACTCCGAGGTCCTTCTCCTCCTCCGTTACTTCCAACTGATGTGTCCCCAGCTTATAACTAAAATTCTTGTTATTAATCCCTAAATGCATAACCTTACACTTCTCACTATTAAATTTCATCCTATTGCTATCACTCCAATTTTCAAGATCATCCAGATCTTCCTGTATGATATCCCGATCCTTTTCTGAATTGGCAATAGCTCTCAACTTTGTGTCATCCGCAAATTTTATTAGGACACTTCCACTTTTGGTGCCAAGATCAGCAATAAAAAGATTAAATAAAATTGGCCCCAAAACTGATCCCTGAGGAACTCCGCAAGTAACCTTCCTCCAACCTGACAGTTCACCTTTCAGTATGACCCGCTGTAGTCTCCCCTTTAACCAGTTGCTTATCCACCTCTCAACTTTCATATTAATCCCTATCTTTTCCAATTTAACCAATAATTCCCCATGTGGTACTGTATCAAATGCCTTACTAAAGTCAAGGTAGATTAGATTACTAAAGTCGAGGTAGATTAGATCCACTGCATTTCCTTTATCTAAAAAATCTGTTACTTTCTCAAAAAAGGAGATCAGATTGGTTTGGC